AGTAATAGTGAGCCATTGTTTCATTTCTTTGGGTTTTTGGTGTGTGTTGGCTCTACGGCTGGACGGGCGTTGAAATCTGTGGTTCAGGGGATTTTGTTGACCTCAGAGGCCGAGAAACTTCACTCTATGAATTTGTTGTTGTACATGGCTCCGATGGCTGCTATGATTTTGCTGCCTTTTAGCCTTTATATTGAAGGGAATGTAGCTGCCATTACTGTCGAGAAAGCTCGAGGGAATTCGTTTATTGTATTCTTGTTGCTTGGCAATGCTACGGTGGCTTATTTAGTGAATTTGACCAATTTCTTGGTGACCAAGCACACCAGTGCGCTCACATTGCAGGTGCTTGGGAATGCAAAGGCCGCAGTGGCGGCTGTTGTCTCTGTTTTGATCTTCAGAAACCCAGTTACGGTGATGGGCATGGCAGGATTTGCTGTGACTATCATGGGTGTGGTGCTTTACAGTGAGGCGAAGAAGAGGTCCAAAGTGACAACCCATTGAAGATAAGATAAGATCTCGATTAACTTTATGTGGATCGATCTCTATGGAAATAAGGGTGCGTCCATTTTCTTTGATTTATTGCTTTTTTGGCTAAATCTTTCAAAGTGGAGAATGGAATGTATATGATTTAGGAAGAAAAGGAAAAGCTTATTGATCTCTTCCTTTCTTCTTTGAGTTCTTCTCGATTGGAGTGGTCATCATTGGGAGTGAATTTCCTCTCCTTTTGGCCTTGCTGTATCTTTGTGTACTTTTGCTGCATCCTGGGTTTCCCAGATGATTCAAATATATAATGTTCAATTTGATTTCGTGGGGAGGGAAATAATTTCTTCTCCCTACCTCCATTTTGTTGAAAAAAATCTCTTGAAGGGTTACCTGAAAGGTCTCTAATTATTGTCACTTAGTTAAACTTGTGTAGTTTCAGAAAGGCTCAGTCAAAGAATGCCAAGTAAAGGCAAAAATAGCACACACCAAATGACATATTGTCAATAATAATTACTTTGTTGCCATTATTTCAAATGACCATCTGTTTTCTGGTTGTCTACTTTATTGTCACATGCTGTGATTCTTCACCTTTCTATTTATTTCCTTGTTTCAGGGGAAGTGACTCCTTGTAAGTGTACCTTTTTCAACCAAATTTTGTTGCGTTTATACTTAATAGATGGTTTGGACAATTAAATTCTTGAGAAATTTCCAATGGGATGCTTTGGTTCTTGGGATTTTTCTGTAGCGTAGTGATATTATTGTACTAATACTCCTGTTTACTCTGGTTGAACCCTTATGGCTGTTATGATCAGTTGGTTCCTACAAATGCATTCAGAGTATGGATAGATTTCAAGTATCGCTCAGTTCTTATTTCTTTATTGCTTCAAAAAGGGTTTTGTACATAATCTGATTACTTTGTCTCTTAGAACACATAGCAACATCTTATATTATGGTTATTAGGGACATGCTGATTTTTCATCCACACCATGACAGAGAGAAACTACAAAAGTATTTCGAATTTGTATATTATGGTTATTGGGGACATGCTGATTTTTCAATCCAACACCATAACGGTCTACTCAATGTCGTTGTTACACTAAAGCAAAGCTTATTATTATCCATCTTGAAGTCGTATATTGCAAGTATACTTCTCTGTATAGAAAAATCATGAACTTGGATTAATCTTTGGACTGAATGATTGATTTGGATAATGTGAATGATGTATTGGACTGAATTATTTGGATTCTGCATGGTTGCTTGAGATATGGAGATCTCTTTCATTCTCATCTTCTGTCATCATTTGTTGTATGCTATGGGTGAAAATGATTCAATGCCTAACCCCTACCTTCAACCTTAAACAAACCAAATCCACTGTGACCTAACCTTGTTGCTTTGTTCTTGGATTACTTCTGAAATTCAAATCTTCTATGTTCTTGGATTACTTCTTATCTTAACCTTTAAATTTAAATTAAACTAAAATTAATGAGTGAGATTTATGGTATTATTGATAAAATAAAATAAAAAGTGTAAACATTATGATGATGCATTAAAAAACAAATTAAACATTACGTAACCTCTTTTATAATTATAATGATCTGATTTCCACTTTCAACTTATAATATTATATTCGTAAGAAAATTATGTACTTATAAATTTAGAATAATAGAAAGAGACTTTTCACCTTTTGTAAGGGAATGACATTCTTTAAAAATTTTATTCTAGGAAAAATTAACTTTTGGTCGGAAATTTTGATTTAGGTTGCATTTTGGATCGATATATTTTTCAAATTTAATAAAATTTGCATTCGGTAGCATATTCTTAGTCTCTCTATTTTCGTTTTACTAATTATTAAGATAAGTCGAGGTTAGTATCCGTTAAAGAAAAAAAGAAATTAAATTATTTGGGCCCAAAAGTCCGAGTCTAAAGTTAACAAGGCCCAAGTCTTACCGTTGGGCCCGAAATCTATTAAAGTACTTGCACACGTGCCCGTGAAAAACTATATAAATATGGAAGCTCTCTTTCATTTAAAAAGTTCAAAAGTTAAAAGGGATGATAAGACTCGTGATCTATTGACTTCGAAAATAAAAAATCTCTTTGAATATTTGAATATCTCACCACGATAATTGACTCTTTAATGAGTTAATGATCGATCTCGAGAATAAACAAATTTACATTCGCAAACAAGTCAAATTAACGTTCGAGAACAAGTTGCAAAACCCTCGAGCTAACTTTAGTACATTTGAGAACGAGTGGAAAGCTCTCAAGACAAATGAACGTTTAACGATGAGTTGCAAAACCTTCCGGATAATTATGAATCTGAGTGAGATGAGTAATTCAGCACTGATTATTTTTTAAATAATCCCGACCCATCCCGCGTACTTCCTTTACAAATTATGGCCACAAACTTACCTAAGAAACTATAATTAATGGCTTCACCACTTTTCCCACGAGATATCCATCCTAAAGGCCTCACTAAAGTATTGGTCTCAATTTGATTTAACACATCAATCCTCACTTTTTCCAAGTTCTTGTGAACAATAAGAACAACCTCATCAATACCCAAAAACAAATATAATCAACAAAACAATCTTCCCCATTCCCAAATTTCTCTAAAAAAAAACCAGAAAAAATGGACAAAAAACAAACCCCTCCTCCCATTTTTCATGCAAACCCTCGTCTCGTCGACATACGTGAAGTTCCTTCAGAGGGCGAGGAGGAGGAGGAAGGAGAAGAAGAACACGCTCCGCCAAAAATGGCATCGGCGTTGCCCGATGCCATTGAGAAGCGGATGAAGAAACACAACAATCGGCTATGGCCACCGCAACCTCCGACGCAACAACGGAGTTTCGGACGACAAATGTCGTTGGAGACGGGTTTGAATAGGGAATCTAAAGGGAAGGGCATTGAGAGAATGGCTCTCCCAAGGAGTGGGAGAAGCTTTGGAGGGTTTGATTCTACCATTGGTGAAGGGAAGAAAGGAGATTTTAGTATCTTTAGAACAAAGTCAGGTCTGAGTAAGCAGAATTCTGTAATGACATCAAGAAAAGATGATAGAAATGAAATGGAATTTCAAAGAACTCATGAAAGATCTGAAGGAATGGATGAATCTGTGGATAAAAGTGTTCCTGTTGGAAGATATTTTGCTGCTCTTAGAGGCCCTGAGCTTGATCAAGTCAAGGTATAATAAGCTTCTCTCAATAACTATATTCAACTAAGATCATCTTCAAATAATCTCTTTGATTTCAGGACTCTGAGGACATTCTTCTCCCGAAAGATGAGAAATGGCCATTCCTTCTTCGGTTCCCGATCGGATGCTTTGGTATCTGCCTTGGCCTCAGCAGCCAGGCCGTGCTATGGCGGGCGCTGGCGACCAGCCCCGCCACTGAGTTCCTTCACGTCTCCCTGTTCATCAACCTCGCCATTTGGCTCCTTGCCATGGCTGCTCTTTTCGCTGTTTCAACGACCTACATTCTCAAATGCATCTTTTACTTTGAAGCTGTTAAGAGAGAATACTTCCATCCTGTGCGTGTAAACTTCTTCTTCGCTCCTTGGGTTGTCTGCATGTTCCTTGTCATTGGCGCCCCGCCAGGGTGGACGTCGGAGCCGCTCCATCCGGCTCTCTGGTTTGTGTTCATGGGACCTTACTTCTTGCTCGAGCTCAAGATTTACGGGCAGTGGCTATCCGGGGGGAAGCGCCGTCTGTGTAAGGTGTTTGCCTTAAATTACCTAAACCAAAACTCAAAAGTTTAAGTTTGTGTACTATGCATATCTAATCTAATCTAATCTAATCGGTTTAAGTTCACAATCTTTTGTTCATATTTCAGGTGGCGAACCCGTCAACACACCTGTCGGTGGTCGGGAACTTCGTCGGGTCGATACTGGTGGCGAAATGTGGGTGGTTGGAGGCAGCAAAGTTCTTATGGTCAGTGGGGTTCGCACACTATCTTGTAGTGTTTGTGACATTGTATCAGAGGCTGCCGACGAGTGAGGCGCTGCCGAAGGAGCTGCACCCTGTTTACTCCATGTTCATTGCAGCGCCCTCCGCCGCCAGCATCGCTTGGCAGACCATTTATCGAGACTTTGATGGCTTGTCAAGAACTTGCTTCTTCATTGCTTTGTTTCTCTATATTTCTCTTGTTGTAAGGATCAACTTCTTCACTGGATTCAGGTTCCACTCTCTTCTCTTCTTTTCTTCTTTGATGGCTTGTCGCCAAAAGGTCTCCGTCTCCCACCCCGTTTTAGCTAACGAGGAAAAACTCCTCCCCTCTCCCTCCCTCATTTTATTAGCTTAAATGGAGTTTCTTTCACCGTGTTCGAGGCGAGACTCCAGTCCCATAGGTTAAATAGATATTCTAATCTTTTGAGTTTTCTCAATTCTTTCTTGATCTATTTTATCCTTAATGGTTGCACATATTCCTAACTAAATACAAAATTTTCAATTAAAATTTTGAAACTTAATTTTATAAGTTATTGTCATGATCATTTTATAAGTTTAGTTCGCTAGGAAACCGAGGGCATTCATAGAACCTACTTTTAGAATTTCATATGTATATTATATAAAATAAGCATCCATAGAGAATCCAGAGAATGTACTTTTTGTAGTTTTCCCCCATGTGAACAGCCACTGTCCATCAAACCCAAGAGACTGCCTTGGATCACACCATCACTGAATGAAAAACAAAATAGACATCAGAATTTGCATTACAACAGATCAGTACAATTATTATACCTGAAAACATGTGAACTTTTACAGGTTTTCAGTGGCTTGGTGGTCTTACACATTTTCAATGACAACTGCTTCAGTGGCGACCATAAAGTATGCAGAGCATGTCCCTACAATTGTAAGTAAAGGACTGGCAATTGCCCTTTCTTTCATGTCCTCTACCATGGTGTCCCTTCTCTTTGTCTCTACTCTCCTCCATGCTTTTGTTTGGAAGACACTGTTCCCCAATGACCTGGCCATTGCTATCACAAAGAGGAGACTTATAAAGGACAGGAGACCCTTCAAAAAGGCCTATGACCTAAAACGCTGGACAAAGCAAGCTCTTACCAAGCACAAGGATTTTGATGCACAGAATGAACAGCTTGAGGCTCCTTATACAAATGTCTCAACCAGTCAGAAGAGTTCATAAATCCACATTAATTTCCCAGAAAAGTTGTATAACATTCAGAGTACCAGTATTGTAACATTCAGACTTCGATTCATTGCAGTGTTCATAATATAGAAGACATGAGTTCCTATAATGAAAACCTCCTCAGGATCATGAGTTTCTACACTTGCTCTTGAATGAATGAACTACCAGTAATGTAATGTTTAAAAATTCCAAGAGTCTAAAGTCTAGTAAATTTTCAATGAGGGATGCAACTGTGAAGATGAAGCTGTGTATGTATATTCTTTTTGAGTAGCGAACAATACAATTACGTAGGGGGTACACAAAGAAGCTGAAGGGGGGCAGTGATGGCTGTACATATCCGCCGAACTTGCATGTTTATTTGGATTAGGATACAAGTTGGGGGAACATAAAGACCTGGTTAGATAAATCATAAATCTCGAAGCCACCTGTTTGACAACCTTTCCTGTACTATATGGACAGACTTTAAATGATTTCTATGAAGAAAAAATAGCTCGAGAACCTTTCCTGTACTGTTGTTCTCAACTATCATGTAATGATTACTACTTCAAGGCTGATACCAAAATCAGATGCCCCAGCAGAAAGAAATCATTCTTTCAGAACACTACATACTTAGCGAACTCCCAGATTCCTGTATGGATAAAAAAATTGTCTTAGATAATTTAAGTGGTAAGATGATTAGCAAAACTATCACAACTGATGCATACGGCATACCTCATGGTCAACGGGCTGTTGCAGGAATCAGATATGCATCCACTATTTCCCAAATAAATCTGGTTTCCCGCAAATGGAGGCGTTTCTTTCACCAATGGAGTTATCTACAACGGAATACTAATGTTTAAGACAATATAAAAACTTCATTTCTACCAGTGAAGCCATATACTGAACCTTATTGAACCCAGAAAAGAAACCTTATATTACAGTATAAAATCGAATCTGTAGGATATTGAAATGAAATTGTACAAGAGAGAAAAAAAAAAAAGTACAGCATTTACCTTATATTCTGGTTGAAATAACACCGAGTTATTTTCCTTCGAGCTCTTATTCCAAAAAGATCAAGAATAAAAAAAAATTAATGTTTAGAAAATTTTGATTTTTCTCAGTAATTGCAAGTAAATATGCTGATAATTTTGAAGTTATGAAAATGAATTAATACCTTCAAAGGCATGGATAGATGGGACGGAACTTTAGCCAAGGGTCCATTTTTTGAATAGAGTTGAGATGTTAGGGAAAGCTAATATAAGAAGATTAAAACAATCACATTAATCATAGAACTAATGATATAGAAATATTAAAGAAGAAAAAAAACGAACTTAACCCAGAGCTACCTTGTTGAAAAGTTCTGTTGGTGGTTGTAGAATTCTCTTCTCACTATGGAATTTAAATTCCTGAATGCAGTAAGTATGTCAGCTTAGAGACCTTAAGGAATAAGAAAGGAAAGAATGTACATTAATGAAATATTGGGGGGGTGGGGAAGGATTTTACCATTGGTATTGTGGTTTCTTGCTTGCTATTTCTAAAAACACCTATTTCACCTTTACTTGAAAACATCTGCACCAAACATGCCATAAATAAGTCTAATTGCACAACATTATTATACAAAGTACCAATTAAGTAACTATCTACCTTCCTATTAAGAGGACATGCCTTGAAATTCTGCATGACATGATACTCATCATTCTTTTTATCATCAATGGCATTTGATCTGTAGACAGATAAATGTCAATTATTAGTATTCTGACAAAAGAACGTCAGTATTTGCACTTTAATGGGAGCAAAACAAGATTCTTTTCCATTTGCATACCTTCTAGACTCCATATTTCTGGTTACTGTAATGTCAGAATAATCATGATGAAAGGCTGAGGATGAAACAGCAGAAGTATTTTGCATGGCCCTCTCCAACGTCCTCAAATGAAATTCCTTAAGAGGCAGGGAAACAAACACAAAAGACAATATGAGGAATAGTATAAAGCTTTTCTTTAAAAACACTGGTTATAATGAATCCTCGTTGGACAAGATAGGGAAATGTCTCTAACTTGGAACTCAGGCAATTTGGGAGTGCTTTTCTTTGGGAGCGGAAGTGATGGAGCCTCTAATATCTGCGATATGAAAAAGAATGCATTGCCAATCAGCAAAAAGGACACGACAATCCACGACCAATTGTTATTGGATAGAAGTACCAACTTTTCTGTTTAGCGGACGGGCTCTAAACCTTCGAGTAGTTGTGACCTCATTATCTTCTTCCATCCTACTTTTTAATCTGACATCAAAGCAAAAAGTAGCTGTAACCCCATGAAGGATGGGACCAAGATTTTTCTTACTACAGTAAATTAAAGTAGTATAAATTTCAAACCTTATTCTATGTGCCCTATGTGCTGTTTCAAGGTCAGGCTGCCTAGGAATTGTAATCTTCAGCTTGCCATTCGTAGTAGATTTATCAGCAACTCCATCCTGCCAATACATCAATATATTTATATTCTTGCATATAATTCACTAAGATTTCTTGTCCACGTAATGATTAGAATCCAGACTCAAGTTAAAATACCTCAAAATGACTTTAAAATAATGCAGGGAAAGAAAAAAAAACAAAGAGCAAACTTCTAAGATTGGAAAATCCCAGCATATATGTCCATATAAGACTGAAGAACACATGCATTAGAATGGCCAACCTACAGAACTTACAGTACAAGATAGACACCAAAATTTGGAGATACGCACTGGAATTTCTTGCAAATTTGAAATCTATGCTACATTAGTATGGTTAACCACGTAATGATCAACAAAAATAAAAAGAACAAACACACACCTTTTTAGGAAGCTTATGGACCAAACTAGTCTGCTGCTTTATTTCATTCACCTGTAATGCAAGGTTAAAATTAGAACTCATACCAAGTTAAGTGCATAGCAGATTCGTTCAAAAGACTCCATAATCAGCTAAGTACTCAACTGCACACTAAGGCACAAAGAGAACATGCAAAGTCCCTATAAAAAAAGAAGAGAGAAATAATAGAACATGCAAAGAGAACATGGACAAATATCTGCTAAAATCCCTATAAAAAAGAAGAGAGAAATAATAGATATATTATTGTTCATCAACAAATTATAAATTAAAGTGAAAAAAGGAAGAGTAGGAAAGAAAGACATTGAAGAAAAGCACTTGTGCACAAAAAACGTGGAAAACCCCATAATGATATCACTAAGACACACGATTTGCTCATTTGAGTGAAATTATCTCCATCGACTCCCGACAACACCCAAAGGTGCACAACGCCTAGAGCCAAACATGCCTTTTAAAACAGTGATTCAACAATATCAAGTAAAAACATTGATGATAACCAAAAAAGAAAAAGAAAGAAAGAAAGAAAGAAAGAAAAAGGGGTAGAGATGTAACATTTTCCAATGGACTTGAATATCAGAAAAATAATAAGAATGATGATTCAGAAACTGCACCATAAAAAAGACCTATAATTTATGGCGATTTAGAAATTATTAATAAGCTTTAGAGGAAGTTATCAGGACAAACTGACATAATCACAGATCATAGAGACAGGGATATATTGTACAACATATGTACCTTGCGTGAGTGACCTTCATCCAGCTTTTGCTTCTTGATAGCTTGACTTTCGGTCCCAGAACTACAGACACTTGTCTCATTGTTTTTAACAAGTACTCTCTGCAACCTAAAATATACAGGATATTAAATCATTATTTGAAGAATTGATTGAACAGAATCATTACCGGCCTCCATATAAGCAAATAGGCCTTTTACGAAAATTAGCCTCACTGGCTAAACTAAGAGGGCATTGTGATAATTATGCACGCTAGAAGAATCCCAAAGAAGTTGATGTATTTTTCATGATAGTTTGTGCAACAAAAAGGTTTGTGAAATTTTACAAACGACAATATCAAATAAAAAGCAATTTTGGCTTATATACAAACAAGAAAACAAAATGAAGCAGCATCACTAGCACTCACTTGATATCAGTATATTGAGTTTGTCTCGCTAAGTGGCTCACTGTTGGTTTCATCAGAGTGGTGCCCCTGGGTCTAGATGGCTTGACACAAGATGGGGCTTTCACTTTGGGTATGTTCAAGGATGGACGATTGTATGATTTAGATCCTGGAAAACAGAATTAAAGAGAAATAACACATTATAAAAGAAAAATGGTTGTGAATTCAAATACCCATTTCATCCCATTCATTACTATTTGAGAAGTGATCAATTTTGACAGAAGCAAAATGCAGTTTATCAAATCCTTTAGTAACTCAATGTCAAAGAAGAATAAACTCTCCATCTTTTAACATCACCAGTTACTTCTTCAGAGACGGACTGACCACCTGATGTAAATTGAAGTTGTTGATTGTGAATTTTTTGTACGTTTCCATCCCGTGAGTTGGTGAAGAATCCTCTAGTTGCATCTTGGCAATCTACAAGATAATCTTGTAATTTGTCAATATCAGCCCCCGACCAGAACAGTGTATCAAAGCAGAGATGGATAGAAGTCAGAAGATTCTTCAACCAGAAATGTACCTCCATCATTTTCACGTACTGAACCAATTTCCTGGTTGACATCATTATGCGAATCAATTGTGCTGTCCCGGCCTTCAGATTTTTTCGAAGCATTTTCAATGGCGAAAAGACACTCTTCCCTCAAGAACAGTTTGGCTACAAACGCTGACAGAAAGAAAAGAAAATGAAAATTCAAAGGAACAAAATGAGCACAACGAAAGCGCCACACATTATTGCAAGAAAATCAAAAGTACCAGTTCCCTTGGCACACTCCCCGTGCCATACATTTCAAGAAAATCCCAAATTCCAGTCCCCTTCACACACTCCTCACTCGACGAAAAATCAAAGAAATAAACCCACGGCATAAACAACGAAAGCGGATCATCTTTAAGATTAGTACAACCAAGCAAAACAGAAATTTCAATAGCGTATTGATTCGTAAAATCCCTCTAAAAACGATCATCAAAGTCCCCAAAACCAATGAAGAAACAAAAAAAAAAAAAAAAAACACACAAAACCTCGAGATTACTCACGAGAAGGAGGGTAGCTTTCAGCAGACTGGAACCAAAGCTCAGCTTCACAAGCCTCAACAAAACTCTCCTCGCGAGTGAAATCAAAATACCTAGCCGCATCAAACTCATACTCAATATCGACTTCATAAGCATCAAAAACAACCGGCTCAACCTCCATTTCCTCATCCATTTCCTTCCTTCTTCAGAGTTCAGTTTCACCAACACTGTGAATGGAATGGCGATCGCCCTCTTGGTCGAAAAAGAAGGAGCAGCAATGGTTATTGTCGGAAAACTCGCCGAAAAAGCCCTAAGTCCAGAAATCGAAGAAGCGATTTGCAGCAGACTGAAGAAGACGGGGAGCGTGGTTTTGTCCGTTGCCTTGTTCACTGTAGCAAAATGTGTGAACTCGAATCAAATCAAATATTTATTAACCCCCAAAAAAAAAAAAAAAAAAATTAAAAATATAACTTTTAAATCTCTTTTTTGAAAAATAACGGAAGGATGTTATTTTAGGTTTAAAATTCAACTTTTTCTAATATTTTAGATTTTTAAAAAATAAGTTTAATTAACAAACCTAGTTTTAAACCCGTTGATACATAAATAAGCATAATCCATTAATTATTGATATCTAATTTGATTTATCGGAGCTAAAACGATAGGTAAGAAGTGTAGATCAGTCCGCAAGATGGAGATTCAAATCTTCATAACTTCACGTTTATTGTACTAAAAAAATTATGTGAGAGCTTCCCGTCATAAAATAAATTAAAGCGGAAGCATTTAAAAACATAAAATTAATGGAGTCGTCCCATAATTGTTTCTCTCAACCCTACACGTCACTCTCGTAGTACAATCTTGCTTGACCTAAAAATTATTTTGAAAAAAAATGAGTATTAATAATATAAGTAAGGCGCTCCTCTATGACGTTGCAACAGGTCGTAAACTACAAGGATCTTAAGACACTCTTCCCTGACAGCAAACCTATCTCGGGTTTACTTTTTCTAGCCGAGTTAGGTTGACGGGTAGGATTTTCTTTATAAGGATGAATTTTTTAAATATTTAGAAATAATACTCCTATTATTTACCTCAAAACTATGTTAATATGTTGGTGGGAGTTGGATTAAAAAAAAAAAAGAATTAAAAAATAATTCATAAAAATAAAAAACATAAAATTATTATTCCGATTACACCCCTGAACGATATGGAAAATGGCGGAAATTGAAATGTCGTGAAGGGCAAAAGGGTAATTTGGAATAGGTTTTGCTTGAAAATGAGGGAACAGAAACGTGGGGGTTCGAGCTTTTCTTCTGTTTTCGGGCGGCGATATTCTTCTGTGTGGAAGACTGAAAATTTCGTCTGCTCTATTAGTTTACCCCTGAGAATTGGAATAATTTACAAGAATGCCACCAACGGTTTTAGCCGTTTTAATAAGGGAGCAGGTTTATAGTGGGGCCCGCAAGGAAATTCAAATGGATTTCGTTGCCCAAGGGTAGTTTCGGTAATGCAATGGTTTTTTTTTTTTTTTTTTTTTTCAGTCTCTTTTATGCATGTGACACGTTAATTTTGAATAATGATTTTTGAAAATTTAATATAAAGAAATTAAAACTCTTTATTGTATTTATTATTATTATTACAACACCTTGTTTTGTTTTTTTATATGCTATGGTTTTTGTATTTATTTGAAAATAATTCAACTTTTTGCCAACAAAGTCCCTTTATTTTCTTTCAAACTTACAGCTTGTCATTCTATATTTGTGAAATTATTTATTTTTTTAAAATGTGTTTATGATATATTATGATAATTTTCTTAATGGGTTCAAATTTATTGTTATGCTTGCCTATGTATTCTTATTTAATTTTATAATTTTTAAGATAATTTTTATAATTATAAAATATTAATTAAAAATTTGATAATGCTTATAATAAGTCAAAATTGAGGTTAATCTAAATTTAGGGAAATTTATGAACATTTAAATTCATTTAAACTTAATCTAACTCAAATAAATTAATCCTTTTCATTCATTTAAATTGGCTTCTTCAAATTTCTGAAAATTGAATAAATCCACACCGTTGAATTTTTACCAATTTTAATTGTGCGGTTGAGATTGATAGGGCCCAGAATCACATAAATAACTTCAAACATTAAATGAATGAAAAAATTAAATTTGAAACATTAAATGTATATATTTAATTAATTAAAAATGGAACTTCAAACTCGTTATTTCCTTCCCTATTTAAACAACAAATATCTTTGCTTTGTAAAAAGTATTTTAAGGTTATACCCTTAATATTTGTATTATATTTTTATCGGACATTATAAAAATATCTAGACCATGAATATACGAAAATGTAAATGGGAGGAGTTGTGAAAGATGATCCATCTGAGTACAATAAATAAAGAATCTTATTGTTCGAAAATTACAAACAAATCACGAACGAACGACCCGACCCGATCGAATGAAGAAAGAATACAAAAGAATCCACAGAAAATTGAAAAAACTTCAGCTGTCCTCTCTGCTAAAATCCTGACTGCTACCATCATTTCTTAGATCTATTCCTATGATCCTAATCCGTTTCTTACCGACTCGAGAACTTGAACAACCTCGGCCATGCTCGGTCTCTTTGAAGGGATCTCAGATGTACAGATCAATCCCAACTTCATCACTTCAATGAGCTCGCTTTCAGCAATCCCGCGTAAGTTCCGATCGAAACAGTCAGAAGCCGAACCACTTTCCAACAACTCCCTTACATATTCACACAAAATCACTACCTGGTTTGCTCTTGGACTCTCAACTGGCTTCCTCCCTGTTACCAACTCCAGTAGAATCACTCCGAAACTATAGACATCGCATTTTTCGCTAACTCTCAAACTTTGTGCCAACTCCGGTGCGACGTAGCCTACAGCGGTATGGTATTTGGTTAAGATGTAATTGTCCATAACAGGAAGCAACTTCTCCAGCCCGTAATCCGATAACTTGGCTTCGTAGTTTTCGTCTAACAGAATGTTAGTTGATTTTATGTTGAGGTGAAGAATTGGAGGCTTACAATCATGGTGAAGATAAGCAAGAGCTCTAGCTGTTCCAAGTGCAATTTGATATCTCCTAGACCAATGTAACTCTGTATTGCCAATGCCTGTGCTGGTGCCTGGATAACTCATACCGTGTAAATTGTCGTAAAGATTGCCATTTACGACGAATTCTGATAGAATCAACTGCATTGACGAAGACCAATAGTATCCCTGAAAAGCGACTAAGTTAGGGTGTTTAATGTTTCCCAAACGTCCAATTTCTGTCTCGAACTCGTCTTGGGTTCTGATCCTCCCAAGAGTCTCCAGCTTCTTTACAGCAATGGAGATTCCGACATCAAAACTTGTCTTGTAGACAGTGCCGATAGAGCCACCCCCTATAAGACATTCCTTGTCGAGCAGCGCTTTGGTGCCAGCCTCCCAGTCTTCATACTTCGATGGCAAGGATTTGCTGAAAAGAACCAGCTTCCCAATTATGATACCTGAATCGGTTGAACCGAGTGGTGTGCTCTCAATGATTTCCGTGCTCCTCGCCTTCCTTGTCCGAGCCATTAGGTTCAAAATCGAGATCACGCAAACCCCGGCCAGGATCACAACTGCTGCTACAATTGCAATGATTGCAGATAGACTAAGAACTTTAGGCTTCTTCGATATGGAAGTCGTGCCAGTGGCGTTATTAGCAGAGCAAGGATCCAAGGGAGCACCACAAAGAAAAGGATTGTTTAAGAATGCAGATGGCCCGAAACCTTGGATCGTCTTGGCGGGAGGTATAATGCCTGAAAGGTTATTGGACGAGACATTGAAATGGTGCAGCAATGTGAGATTTTCAAGAGTAGGAGGTATCGAACCAGACAGTAGATTTCGAGATAGATCCAGAAACTGTAGTTTTGAGAGGCTCCCAAGCGTCGACGGAATGAGTCCGTTCAGATGGTTATCATGAAGATCAAGAATTTCAAGGTATGTCATGTTATAAACAGATTGAGGAATTCCCCCTTCCAATTCATTACCAGAAATATCCCTGCAGCAAAAGAAACGACATTCAAGGTACAAGTCGAGTCGAATTTACACATGGGATGAACTGAAAATAATGTCGTTTAAGGTTTTTTTTCATAGAACTTACAGCTCAAGAAGAAACCTGCAACTGGTTATATCAGCAGGTATCTCACCAACAAGTTTGAGACCGTGCAAATTCAAAACCTGAAGCAGCTCGATGTTCCCGAAAATGGCTGGAACTGTCCCGGTGATCGAGTTATAACCCAACCGAACCACCAAAAGCTTGTTCAAATCTGCAAGTTCAGCAGGGATCCTCCCAACCAGCTTGTTAGATTCCAAATCCAAGATTTTAAGGCTCCTACACTTTGTAATGCTCAATGGGATCTCCCCATCTAATTCATTCCATGAAACATCAAGAACTTCCAGATTATCACTACAACCCACAACCTCTGCAATTCCCCCACTAAACCTGTTATATGAGACATTAAAATAAGTGATGTTTTTGAATCCGAGAACCTCGATCGGTGGCGACCCAGTGAACGAATTGCTACTAAGATCCACAAGTTTCAAGCTCTGGCAAGCAGAGAACTGCCTTTGAACACTCCCAGTAAGTGAATTGCTTCTCACAGAAACATATTCTAATCTTTGAATGTTACAAAGTTGCAAAGGAATACTCCCACTTAGATCATTGTTTGAGAAATCAAAGCCTTCAAGGTTCAAACAGTTCATAATTGTTGAAGGAATCATACCTGAAAATCTGTTATGAGAAAACGACACAAATCTAGTTTTGAGACAACTCTTGAACACAGCTGAAGGAATCTTCCCTGTAAAGCCATTTCTAGACAAATCTAGAAACCGAATGTTTGGCAAATCGCCAATGAACTCCGGGACCGAACCTGACAAAGCATTCGAGCTCAAGTTCAGCTTCCAAAGAGTAACAATGTTGCCATATTCAATTGGAATATTGCCAGTAAATCTATTTCCATACAATGCCAAAGTCCTCAAGAACTTCAATCCGGACAAGGCAGGCGATAAAGTTCCAGCCAAGCTGGTGTTCCATAGCACAATCTTCTCCACAAAACCATCGGAATTACACAACACGCCGCTGAAGTTCAGGCAATGATCCTCGCCGGCGACCCAAGTTTTCAAGAAATCAAACGGATCCTCTGTAACAGCACCTTTGAATTGAAGTAAAATGTCCTTCTCAGTGATGGCGGAACAAAATCCGATGAGAAATGTAATCAAGAACAGAAGAGCATGAGAAGAAAAACAAAGCCGTGGAACCCTTCTCATGCTCAAGGAGATTTAGAACAATTTCTGGGCCAATCTATCTATCCATATGGCATTTTAGGAATCCGATTTAGATCGATTTACGATCTGGGTTTTGAAGATAATAAAAAACATCCCCAACATTTCTCCTAAAACCCGTACAGAAATTGCATAAAACCCTGAAGAGATAAACAAAAACACTCAGAAACCGCATAAACAGATCAAGAACAAGAAATGCAAGAAGTACCCAGAGTTCGAATCTACTTTAATCAGATTCTGATCCTACTACACTGCCAGATTCCATCAGAAAATTGTTGAAATGAAGATCCAGAAACAGAGAGAACAAGAAGAACAAAAGGGAACAGTAAAATGAAAGAAAACTTGATTTCACAGCCTTGGAATCAAAGAAAGAGACTAAAAAATCAATGAATGAAGTGAATGGAAGAACCTGTAAAGAAGAGAATTGAAGAAGGGTTGGTTGAGCACCCAATCGGAGTGGCTGAAGCACGTGCAGGAGAGAGCAATGGCGAAAACTCTCTGTCTCTCTGTCTCTCTCTCTCTCTTGTTCTTTGTTTTAGTTGAGATTAGATTGAAATGGGGAATTAAGAAATGAAACCCAGAGTGTGAATGTAGGGCCTTGGCTTTAGAAGGCAACATTTATTCCTTCTCACCAACCAAACCACCAAAACCAGGGTCGCCATTAACGCGGCTGAGAAGGAAAATGAAGGAAAAATCAATGGAAGCAAATGATTTGTCTGTACTCTCTCGATCGCTAGAGAGAGAGAGGAAAAGGGGAAAAGGGAAAAGGGAATTATATGCCATTTCGCTTACAAATTAGAATCAGTTTTTGGGAGACGAACCCAAATTTGGTTGCCTTCTTTATTGTGTACCCTTAATGAACTTCAGTGGACCGAGTCCAACCCCATTAGACCTTTCACACTTTTTTTTTTTTTTTTTTTTTTTTTTTTCTTTTTTTAACGTGACAAAATTCTTAAATTTGGTTAGAAAACTAAAAAACTTACATTTAAAATTCTTATGAATATTAAAAATATTTAATAAATATTTAATATTAGTAATATGTTTATGAAATTTTAGTTAGTAATGTATCCTATATAGTGAATAAGTAGAATTTTTTTAAATAATAAAAAAAATCGAACAAAATCAATAAGTTAAGTTGAATTATAAACTTTATTCGGGTGGCTTAAATCACAAAATACTGAATATTTTTTTACATATATAATATTTTTGAACCATGATGGGACACATAAGTATTTTAATTTGGCACATTGACCACTTCAAATATATATTTATGTATTAAATGGTTTTAAATTTGAAAAAAAAAAACTTTATATTCTATTATTAAAATAAAAATCTAAAAAGGGTCGAAATATGTCAACCCAGCGTGAAATAACCATAATAATAACAACAATAATAATATTATAAATTTATAATAGGTAGTTCTTTTGTCACATTGATTGACCGTTTTATGAAATAAATTATTTTGTAATTATAATAACTTTTAGGTTAAATTATGAAATGATTATAATTTTATTTAATGTCTTTCCTTAAAAAAAAATCTAATAATTTATTTTAATATAATAAAACTTACAAATTTAGGTTAATTTAAATGATATGCGAGAAGGGATAGTGTCCCAGAATCAGAGGGGTGTCCCATTGGGCGCGTGTCGTTCAGAGGCGCGTTGTTCAGGCAACCTTTTTTTTTTTTTTTTGCTTTTTAATGCTTTTTTTTAATATGTATTTATTTATTTATTTATTTTTGTGAAATCCAAGTCAAATAAATAAATAAATAAAGGGACAGGACAGACAATTGCTTACAACTTTGTTCTGTTCATTTGTTTTTCTTTTTTGTTTTTCTAAAGATTCATTAATGTGTACTTTGACTGGTTCACCACATTCGACAAGCCCATGGGCCTTTACCTTTGGGCTTTGGCCCATTATGGACAAGCCCATGGGCCTTTGACATTTGGGCTTTGGCCCATTCTTGTTATTATTAACTTAATTAGATATGTTTTTGAATTTTCAATTTATGGTTAATATGTCTGCTAAACTTTTAAAATATGTAAGCATAAAATTGAGAATTAAACATATAAAGAACCATCTATTTATATTTTGAAATAAAATTTTAATAATTATATCAAGAACAATAAAGGAAATAAAATAATGTACAATAGAAAATGGCAGGTGCTCGATAGCAATCCGATCTACATTAACGACAAACATGGAACGATTAAAAAAATGAAATTGTAAATATGACACAAATATTAATTTATAGCTCTAAAACTTACTCCCGATAATTTCATACTTCTAATTGTAAATCTCATACTTATTACTATTATTCTCTGTCGGTTCATGTCACCCATACACAATCTATGCTAATCTTCGATGCATTAAGATTGTTACAATTGTTGTACTCTCGTGAAGAGGTTAATAGGTCGCACTTCATTGCATATACAAAACCAATACGATCATTGTTGCACCTAATCAAATAGCAATTGTATTATATAGAATCGTTCTTTACGTTACAATTAAAATTAAAAGTGTCTTCTAATTCCAACTTGTTCTAAGTTAGAATTTAGGGATGTACATCATATCGTCTGATAGTTGAAAGCTATTGGGACACTGTTCATCAATGGCCACTGTACCCATATGAGTTCTCTCCCTGAAGATAGAGAGCTACATTGAACTATGCTCAATTTGACACTAAAAGAAATTTATCTTAAAACGAACGGTCTAAGATTTAGTATTGAAAATTGTGTGACATTGAGGAACTCAGCAGCAGAAGAATGAACATATTATATACCATCATCAGCAAACAACACTAAGATTTCATATACAGACCCCCAGCATTTGCTTAAATCCAATCCAATACTTCATTACAATTGAGATTTGAAAGCAGACAAAGTGATAAACACAACATACTTGTTTCATTCCGTTTGGTGCTTTTGGTATGAGTTTTGTCGTTGATTTATGATGTTTGGTGTCGGATATTTGCACTGTTCTTTGTTTCTGTGAAACCGGACATGGATTGAAGCTATTCCATTGATGTCACCATTGCCCAGTGGGGCTCTATGTGCTTGAATAAGCTACTTCACTACTGCAATAATTGCTCATCTTCTGTCTGCAATTCCTTCAGTTTCCTTTTTGCATATACAGTGAAGTAAACTGTTGTAGCAGCCGTAACGCAGAACCCAACAACGGTAAACACAATCTGAGGGGCCGACAGGAACTGCTGAGATTGTGAAGCATCTGCCAATGTCTTGATTAAAATGCCACTGCAGTAGAAAGCTCAGCTAAATAAATTTTTGAAGTATAAATAACTGTCTCAAATATGAAATGGCATGCGAGATCCCACATTGGTCAAAGAGAAGAACGAAACATTCTTTATGAAAATGTGTAAACCTCTCCCTAGCAAACACGTTTTAAAAATCTCGAGGGAAAGCCCGAAAGGAAAAGCCCAAAAAGAACAATATGTGCTAGTATAGTAGTGGGCTTGAGCCGTTACAAATGGTATCAGAACTAGACACTGAGCGGTGTGCCAACGAGGACGCTAGGTCTCGAAGGGGGTGGATTGTGAGATCCCATATCGATTGGAGAGGAGAACGAGTACCAACGAGGACGCTGGGCCTTGAAGGAGGTGGATTGTGAGATCCCACGTTAGTTGGAGATAGGAATGAAGTATTCTTTATAAGGGCATGAAAACCTCTCCCTAGCAGACGCGTTTTAGAAGCCCAAAAAGAAAAGTCCAAATAAGACAATATCTGTTAGCGGTGGGTTTGGGCCGTTAAAGTGAACTTAACTAATGAAAAAGTTGTATTGATGTGGTTTCTTGCAGCAGTGATTCCCACATGTTTAAAAGCCAGAGACATTCTAAATGTAAATTTACAAGCAAGCATTCAAGAAGCATGGAAATCACCATGTGAAAGTATGAGTAACGTTCGAGGTAGGGTAGAGTTCGGTATACGTACGTGTATATCGTAACAAATATTTCTGGCACCATTCCGACCAGCGACCCCAAGATGTAAGGACCGAATCTGACATTGGTTGCTACAGCACAATAATTATATAAAATATAAGGAAATGGAGAAATCCGAATAAGCGCTACTGCCCGAAACTGATGAACGCAGTCTCCTTCGCCTGCTAATCTTAAAACAGAAGCTCTCTTAGGATATTTTTCTAACCATCCCTGTGAAAAGGGGAAACAAAGTTTAAGTATCAAGGGATAGAAACTATGATGAACATTAACAAATAGGATATAAAGTTAGAACAAGCACTAACTTGAATTTTATGATAGAATAAGGAGCCAATGAAATATGGAAGTGATACACCAATAGTTATTGCTGATATAATTAGCAGGAACCCAAAGCCATAACCAAAAGTCATCCCTGCCAGCCACATAGATGGTGAAGATGGTAAAAGTAATGAAGGGAACAGTGCTACCGAGGCGAAAACGAAAACTGCCAGCACCGGAGGACTAAACGTTTCAGCTTCCCAGTTTATAACCGGTATTATTTCCTGTAGAAAATGAAATACCCGTCAGGCTAAAATGAAACGTTGTACAGGTCAGTTGAATTTTTGTATAAGCTAAAACGAATGCACGTGTCTTTACGTGTATATATACAATAGAGAATGCTTGGACCGTCTTGTGTGCACCTTAACTAATATGCCTATCACTACTACATTTGGTTGACATGGAAACATGTAAGATAATAAATCGTAGTTAGGTGCCCACACAAATCAAGGCCCTTAGGATTAGTAAGGCCAACCCAAGAGGAATGCATATGTCCTTTAATGCCTTCAAATGTAAAAATCCCCAAATATCATACATGTAACAACCCAAGACCACCGTGAGAAAATAGTCTTCTTTGGGCTTTCCCTTCCGGACTTCCCCTCAAGGTTTTCAAACGCGTCTGCTAGGGAGAGATTTCCACACCCTTATAAAGAATGTTTTGTTCCCTTCTACAACCGATGTGGGATCTCACAATCCACTCCCTTGGAGCCCAGCTTCCTTGCTGGTAAACCACCCGGTGTCTAGCTCTTATACCATTTGTAACAATCCAAGCCCATCGCTATCAGATATTGTCCTCTTTAGGCTTTCCCTCAAGGTTTTAAAATGCATATGCTAGGGAGAGGTTTCCACACCCTTACAAAAAGTGTATCATTCCCCTCTCCAACCGATGTGGGATCTCACCATCCACCCCCTTGGGACCCAACGTCCTTGCTGGCAAACCACCCGGTGTTTGGCTCTGATACCATTTGTAACCGTCCAAGCCCATCGCTATCAGATATTGTCCACTTCGGACTTTCCCTTCCAGGCTTTCCCTCAAGGTTTTAAAATGCGTATACTAGGGAGAGGTTTCCACACCCTTACAAAAAATGTTTCATTCCCCTCTCCACCAATGTGGGAACTCAAAATCCACCCCCTTCGGGCCCCAGCATCCTCGTTGGCACTCGCTCCCCTCTCCAATCGATATGGGATCTTACAAGACATCACGATTTGTTTTAGAGTGAATTATGGAATTAATGCATTGCATGGTCATTGTTCTTTTAACAGAAAGATAACATAATCAGAAGAAAACACATGATTAGCTTTAGAATAAAGCCTGATAACGTATATTGCAAGAAGAATACTTGAGAAACACATTGAATGCCAATGACATTACCATACAAAGAACTTTCTTAAACAGGAATTTGATCCACATAAATGGGAACACAATTATGGACAAGTTCTAAAAAGTAAAAACCAAAACCCAGAAACAAATAAACACGACAGAACATAGACACAATCGAGCAGAGCAGCAGCAGCACTTATTGAGATGAACTGGTACGAATTAGTACATATTCATTAAGCAGAGACAAGGTCATTACTGGAAGAATTCAACAAAAAAACCCAATCAAACATAAACACTGACCTTATTCATGAAAAATGGTCCAACCCATGTGAAAAAAACAGCAGCTAATGAGACCAAGAAAATGAACACCACCACCGACCGAGCCCATAGCCACAAAGACCTTCCTAGAGAACGAGGCTGAGAATCACCCCCTTCACAATCACAAGGGCTCTGCCTCAATCCAACATAGTCGCCGTTGTCATCGTCACCTCCAATCCCCACCGTGATACTCTCCGCCACCATTTCTCCTTTTCCGCCGTTATCCGTCTCATAATATGTCATCGGGGGCAAAACCCAGAAGCTCAAGAACAGAAGTGGAAGCAAATTTGATGGGAAATTTCAGAAAACCCTAGAAAACGAATCAGAGAAAAGAAGCGTTGTTCTAATCACCCATGAGAGAGATTCAAGCAGAGAGTTGAAGAGAATCAGAGAGAAGAAGATTGATGAATAAAGGGGAAAATCCGAAACTGAAAAGCAAAGAAATTCCGTGAACAAATTTGCATTCTGTAAAGAGAAGAACAAGATCGAGGGAATTAGAAAAAATGGGAAACGGATTTGGGTTTTGTTGTAGAGCAATTGAAACTACGATTACGGCAGTGTGATCACAGATGGAGGAATTTGATTGGTTGTTCTTGTCGGATTGCTCTGTCGTTGGTCTGTCGTGGGCTTTACCGTCACGGTCGGTGAGGTGAAAGATTTATCACGCGTTATGAATTTCCGGAGTAACACTGCTTTACGTTGTCCACCGAGCTTAACCGTCAGCAACTCCAACTATTTTTTATTTTTTATTTATTTCTTCAAAATACATAGATATTTTTTTTTAAAATATAATTTAGTAATAAGATTTTTAAAACATCTATTTTCAATTTTATGTCTACCTATGAATTTAAATAATTATTTAAAAAAATCTTTCCGATATAAAATTATAATTTAAATAGTATAATTTTTTATTTTTATAGATTAAAATATAATAATGGTTCAAATTATCTAAATTTTATAAAATATATTTTTTTAATACGTTAATATTAGAATTTTGAATTTCTTCATACGGTTTTTTTTCTTAGTTTTTAATTATTTTTCTTTTAATTTTTTTTAGATGTAAAGTTTATATGGTAATTTTCATAGCACTAGTAATATATGATGTCAATTGATAATAAAATGGATAAATTATTTTTCTTTTATTAATTTATTATTCATATTTTAATAATAAAAATTATTATATTTTTTAGAACAAGTTTTAAATACAAAATATATTTTAAGCCAATCTTATGGTTCCAACCATATGTGAATTTACATTTTCTATATATTTTTTTAACATTTTTCTTTATTCTCTATTTAATAATTTAAATCATTCGTATCATTAACAAATTATATTACACACAATTAATATTATATGGTTCCGACATTAATTGAATTTTCATTATTTTTACTTACTCATAATAAATTATATTAAATGTTAGGTCTCGTGGTACATAATTAATTTATTGCTCTCGACTTTCGGGACGTCTTAGAATACCCTTAAACAAATTAACTTGAAATAAGATTTTTTTTTAAAAAATTTTGTATCAAATATTATATTATAATTTTGTTAATATATGATATTAAGTCGACCAAATAAAATTTTACATTATATTCGATAAACAATTAATAATGTGCTTGTCTCGCATTTTTTTAAGATTTTTTTTTTATAAAATAATTCTAAAAAAACATTTTATATATATCAGAATTAAAATATGTTCATACGCATAGTAGGTCTGTGTCTTCTTATTTACACCTTCTTTGTCTTTTAAAGATTCATTCATATTCTATCATATTCTATTAGTTTAACTTGATTTAGAATATATAAGTCGAGGACTCGATATTAAAATTCATGATTTTGACCTATTTATCCTTGTCATCATCTCTCATCGCTAAGTTGAGGTCAATAAGGCTTCAACTTTGTCGTCTCTATCGAGACAACTTGGTCTTTAATTAAGTCGTTGTAGATGTTTCCAACTACGACCAGAGACCTGTCCAAGATTTATTCCCGCTCCGAATAGTAAACAAAAGTGAAATATAGGTTCCAAACACAAAATCTTATATGAGAATGATGGATCTTAGCTTCTTTCTAAGAAAGAGACGTAGATGCCCTTATTAGACTTTGCTGGTGACAAAATCCCTGTCACTTGATTCCCATATGGTAGTCCCATCACAGGTGCATAGCTTCTTGTAGTTCTCTCCGACACCTGCGCTTCGAGCTACTACTGCTGCTGCCATCCCCGGAACTGATTTATCTTCGGTCTCATACACCGCTATTGATCGTCCGATGAGATCACACACACGCAGCTTCTGTTTCACACCAGAGAAAAACGCTTCGCCATTTTCATCGGCCTCTAATGTTCCCAGGTCGCCCAATGGCTGAAAATACATTGTGACACTATATTAATCTTTCAGAGACTCATAACCACATAAAAATCATGTCAACTTACTTAGTTCACTCTATTATGGTTTGATGGTTTAGAGTAGGATTAAACTAGAGGAAAGGGAAGAGGTTTTCAAATAGGTTCAAAACCGATTTCGAAAGATTCGTGAGGTTTAACCAAATTGTAGGACTAGATGAACCGACACTAAACTCGAGACCCGACAACTAAATTATAATATGCTCATCAAAAGGCCTATTGCTGGTTACAAGTTTACAACTAATCATCCCAGACACTAACAAAAAAACAACAGCAACAGGCATATGAAATTTATGAATGAACAGGAAAAGGAATGACTTCAAAAGCTATGAGTTGAAAGTTAACCTCATTACTAGGGCCAGAATCTGCAGAATCAAACACTTTCCCTGTGCTAGCAGCACCTCTAGTCAGGTCACCAAATTCATTGATTGACCAACCATGTTTTCCAGGTGACAATCCACTAAAGTTGGCTTCAACCCTGGCTAGTTCCATACTTACTTGAGCCAATCGAACCACGCCAAATATATTCGGGCCTTTAAATTCGGAAACAGCAGCAGAAACTAAGAAATCTGCAAAGAGAGGGCAGTGGTTTATCAGATTAATAACTTTCTCACTCCTATTCTTTCAACGGGTCAATCAGATTCCTCTTTTAAAAAAACCCAAACAATCTAACAAAAAGAATTACAAGAGAAAGGGGAGACTTGGGGTCCAGATCCAATCCAGAACTAGGGAGAACTAAGATGGGCTCTCAACTAGTTATTAACAAAATAACCAGATCATTAAAGAATTGTTCGAATTAAAGTGCCAAAGAGATATGTTTCATACAAATCACACCAGTTTCCCGACACGTGCATGCTTTATTGTATTCTCTGTTAGGCCCCTAATTTGACATACGTACACTAGGAGGGGTAGTAAGGGAAATAAGCACTAGAAAATTAGCTTGTGGGGAAGTCGTGTGGTTGGTGTGGGCAGGAGGACTAGATATTAGAGGGGAGTGCTTTCGGTAGGCAGGCTTTCTTTTGTATAGAACTATGTTTGTGGAGGAGAGGTTACCAGCCTTTTCGAAATAGACTGGATGCTTCTTAGTGTTTGTCATGTTCATAATTCTCTATATTCAAACTCAGCAACTTAAAAAAGTACATGTTCCTCGACGCTGAGGGCATCCCCGAAGGGCGGGAGATTTGGTGATATTTCTGATTGGCTGTCACGGACTGATTTTTCTTTCTAGGTTATGCGAAGGGGCCAGTCCAAGATCCTATTCTTGCTCTACAAAGACAACATACGCTCTCAACGGCTTCCTACCCCCAGAAGGAAAAGTCCTTCCCTTTTTGGCTGGTTGTGAGCGAGGAGGGATTCGAACCCCCGACACTGTGATTCGTAACCATGTGCTCTACTCCCAGTTTGGCCCAATAGGCTTAGAAAATGAACCGGAGATGAAACTGTCATATTTCTCCTGAGAGTCAAAATGCCTACGTTTTCGATTTGTTAATGCAGTCATCAGCTAGAACCGAATGAAGGCCTAAGTCATAACAAATGGATTGAAAAGGAATCGGCCTATACCATTTTCAATAACCCTAGCACCCCTTTCCGGCGAATAGGTTAAACAACGTTGTCATGTACCATCTCCGAGACTCGAGATGATTTTCTATTGAGTAGACAAATACTCAACAAAGATTTGATTACAAATGATAGCACAGAGAATTATAGGGCTAGTAAAGTGGAGGGATATCATCTTCAAATTGATTTCCAAAAAGCATATAATCACGTTGAATGTGGACGACTAAAATCCCGAATAACCCCATTGAATCTATTCGCATGTCCTCCTTAGAGGTTCTTAATCCACAATGGTGTATTATGTAAGGGCATACTTCAAAAAATTTAAATCCCATCCTTTGGACTTGTTTTTTCCTCAAAAGATTCGGTGAAAGTTTCATCGGATTATTGTTCCCCACCAGTCCAAAAGTCGAGATTCGTCATAGCACGATGGAGGATGCTCTTTCCGAAGACCTGTTCTTTTCATTATTATTTGGTTATAGCCAGAAAGGAACCAGAAGATTTGTGTATATAGAGAGGAATTAGCAGGAGATTTGGGGTTCGGCTCACTTTTAACCCACCCCTTGAACTATTTCAAACAAGTTCTATTTTGATTTTCCTTCTTTATTGATTCATAACAAGATCAAGTTTTGATAATTTATATTCTACATTTCGATGGCTCTCCTTTGTCCTCACCTTATGTAATACCTATAAATTCAAATGGTTTCCAGAAGCAACATTATAACTTGATAAAACATTCAAAAATCTAAAGAACTCAAAGAGGCTTTTATCATCTTAACAGCTAAGTATCAGATTCAGAAAAAGAGAGAGGGCGGGCTTAATTCAACGTACCCTCGGGAACCCCTTGCCCAATTAACCGAGTTTTTCGACCCGTCTGCTCCAAAGCTTCAGTCATTGTCTTCACAGGTGTTGTACCCAGTATCCTAACCACTTGATTGCTCAAGTCCACATCAACACTCTTCACACCTGAAACAACAATTAAAGTTCTGGAACTAGTATACAGCACATGAATGAGGATGCTATTGGTAGAATTAGTTTAATTACAAGCTGTTTAGTGAAAGGTGTTCAATGAGAAATCATTTTAAGACTTGGTTCATACTCTAAGAAAGCACTCACAATTGGGGGGAAGTGCTTTTAGCTATGAAAATGCCCAAAAAACTCCCAAACATAGGTTAACAAGAGGTTAAAACCAACCAAAAAGGTGAAACAATTATCAATTGAAACATGAAACACGAACATCAAATAAGATAAATCTTCACCTAAAACACTTACCATCAACGCCCTGTAACTTGTTCTTGACGGCATTAACGCAGCCCTCACATTTCATATCCACCATAAACTCTGTCTGTCACTCGAACACAATCAACTAAGTAAATTCCAAACATAGACTCGAATTCTCATATTAAACCATAACAAAACAACCCCTCGAGCAATTTGACCAATAAAGTTCCTCATTAGAAAACTACACCAATATGAACCAGAAAGCTTCAAGATAATACACAAATCAGGAGAAAAAGAATTCAAAGAACTAGACTCACCAAAAGTTCGGGCAAATCAACGGTGCTCTGCATCAATCGAAAGCAATTAAGGAGCATTAGAACTGATACACGATTAATAACAGTAAAATTAACGAAGAAAGTATATGGGTTTAAGAAATCAGAGGAAACCTGATAGGAGGAGATTGGTTCCGAGGTGGGTTTCTCCATGGGAACAGCAGAGGGGGAATAGGCAGAGATTCTGGAAAATCCAGAGGAATTTCGAGACGAATGTAAAGAGAGGGGAATGGGTTTAAAGGATTGAGGGAGATGAAAATGAGGAGAAGAAGAAGAAGAAGAAGGACCGGGGAAGATGAAAGCTGCAGATAAAGCAGACGCTGTTATGGCAAGGCTAGTGGTTGTTGCTGCGGACCTTAGAAACGCCATTAAGAACGATTCTCTTTGTTGCTGTTTTCTCTTTCAACATTTGTCAACGAAGCGGCAAAAAACAACACACCCAATATACCAACAACATATTTTTTTTTCTTTTGCAAAAGAATTAATCTTTTTGAGAGAATTAGAATTCATGAAAATTTCACGAAATTTCTCTAAATTTGAGTGGTGGGATTTTTTTCGAAAATTTTCTTTGAAGTATAGTTAAATTTTTTATAATTATTATTATTTTAATCTATATCTTTAGAATAAATTCTTTTTTTATTATTTAAAAAAAAAAAAGAGTGAATTAAAATAATAAAAGAAAACTTGATTGTTTGCTAAATAATAAGTAAATATCATAGTTGTCATCTAATTATAAATTTGTCTTTAAATGGCTTAAAAATCAAGAAAATTCCTATTCAGATATAAGATTTCTCACCAAAAACAAACTTTTGCTATTAGTTTGAACTTTGAAGTTCAAGGAAAACTCACACTAACTTATAATAGTAGAATCATCTGGTCGAAGTTCTCTAAATTTGTGGCCTTCTACCAAATGGAACACAAACTTGATACATTGTGATCACATTACGAACCATGGCAGAAGAAATGATCGGTTGATTAGTCCCGACTTTCTTGTTGTGTCGCACAGGATTCGGCCAAAGACTTGTTGCAAAATGCTTAGAAACTGGTAACTGCATAAATGTAGTTCTTCAACCGAAACCAGGGGGCACATCCGGGTCTTCATCGCTATCATCATCTATACACATTTGGTGGTGCTTCGTGTTTGAAACAAAGCCTGGTGCTGGATCCACATTATCTGCATCAGACATGTCGTTTCGACTATCGTTGCCACGTTTAATAAACTGCAGCTCATCTACGTGTTGTTTTTCCTTGTTTGTATGATTACCAGCAAAAGAAAAACCGGAAGGTTCTATAGGATTAGTCTCAGTGTGTTCAGATTGACTGGTGGAGGCCTTCATAGAACCATTGTTGTCAGCTTCCTTCCAAACTGGTATAGCATGGTGGGTGGCTGCTTCGGCGTCTTCCTTCGCTTTTGGGTTCGCCAAGTTATTGTATATCGATTGTACGGTTTCTGTGATTTCATTTTTCATGCCATCATCTGATCTGATTATCTCCCATAAGTTATCAGAAACCTTGCTCATTATTTCATCCCTGAAGACAAGGCAAATATATTATTACCTTATTATCTCTCAGTAGATACTAAAATAAGGAAAATTTTAGTATGGACAATAAAATAAGGAAACAACAAACATAGGCATCCAAGATATTTGATCTTAACATAGATAACTTAAGTCACTCATTCACTGAGCTTTTGAAAGTTCGCCAAGTCAAGAATTCGAGAAATCATCAAACTCAAGTGAGCGTATTTCTCTATCTTTTGAAACGATTTAATCAACAAGAAAAGAAGTAGATGCGCTTTAGAAGAAGAAGGATTTGATGATAACTCTGATGGTAGTGTTAGAAGTAACGATGAGGAGTTGGCTTATTTCAAGAATTGGCATCAGAAGGGTTATCTGAGAGTCATGTGAAGGAGTTTGTGGACTTTTTGAAAATAGGTTTCTGATGTTGTTTTCTTCCAGGAAGTATGTGAAATCTCACGTTGGGAGGAGAATGAAACATTCTTTATAAGAGTGCGGAAACCTCTCCCTAGCAAAAGCGTTTTAACAACCTTGAGGGGAAGCCCGAAAGGGAAAGCTCAAAGAGTATAATGCCGGCTAGTGGTGGGCTTGGGCCGTTACAAAGTAGCTTGGTGGGAGTAGTTTTGCATGCTTTCGCTCGTCAATCGACACAAAAACCTCTCAAAAAAAGACAGATATATAAACCAAGAAAAAGCAACAGTCTAAGGGCAGGGGAAGAGAAGCTCCCTCCCACACAAAAACTAATGAAGCACAACCTCTCAATTATGGAAGATTTGACCTAGGCTATACTCACAAAAGAATTTTCTGTTTCTAAGACACTACAAAGAAGACATAATTTGTACAGTATTGCAAAAAATATATCAAAAGTATTAGACTAATCCTCAAAGATCCTCCTATTTCTTTCCTTACGAGATTAATCTCCCAAACAAGCGCCCACTCTACATTTTGTTCTTTGATATATTTTTTTTTTTCACTTATAATATATAGAGATTTTTGCATTTTTCTGTTTGGTTTGGGGATTTTACAGAGTTCCAAAATAGAAATTTCTTCATGTGAGTTGATCCGGATGAGATAAACCTTTCACCTCCCATTATAAGAAGAGTTCATATAAACTCCACAGCCTACTTTAGCTAGAGAACTCGAGAAAGTACACTATATTGAAAATATGACTATGTCAAAAGAAACAATGAAGAACATGGGACAGCAGAAATTTGGTCTTACCCAACCTCGTCAAATATTGTATCAGAAAGTTGCCGAGGTTTTACATTTTCAGCTCCTGCCCGATTAAGAGCTGCCGATTGCTTCACTATTGCAACTATATTATTGCGCAATTCTTCCTACAGTTAAAAGGACATTTTCTATTAAACCCCAAAATCCAACAGAACGTCAATGTTTTTAGAACTTCAAAAAATACTACCATCGATTTATCTCCCTTAATACCCTAAACAAATGTGCTTAATTTGGAACAGGAAGAAAGAAAGAACTAATAGCTCAAACGAATCAACAAATTCCACAACAAAGAGATACGATTAGCTTATAATTATGACTATTAGAATTAGAATTAACAAAAATACTAAGCAGAAATCAAATGAAGAACAAAAACCTAAGAAATAGAGGAAATCAAGATGGAAATGAAATATAAAAATGAACACACATTGTCTTTCAGCTTGCGAATGATCTTGAGACGGAGCTTATCGAAGTCGCCGTCATCCTTGAGCTTTTCGATAACATCTTCACCACTAATCTTGGGCCCGACCTCCATTAACGACGACCAGCGTGCTTCTTCCCAGCTTCAAAGGTACTGTAGGTATTGTTATGCTGCCATTCTCGTTTGCCCTACACGAATTGCATTATTATTATTATTATTATTATTATTATTATTATTATTATTATTATTATTATTATGGTTTTCGATGAAAAAAAAAAAACTCCTAAACTTGTGGAATAAGACAAAATCCTAGAAAAAGAAAATAAAAATAAAAATAAAATTATTTGCATTATTTTTTAGTACAACAAACGAATAAATAAATGATATAAACACGACCTCAATAAAAATAGTATATACCAATTGACAGTAAGCCCCGACTTCCATTAATATGTTTAAAAATTCTCAATTAGGTCTTTTCGGATGTTTATAATTAAAATTTGTTAACAAAAAAAGTAAGTCTTATTCGACCGGAACATCGGTGAGACGATAGAAGAAGAGGTACTTATTTCTCGGTTCATTAATGTTCCTTATTACATTTTTAGATTGTTACTTGAACATCCTCTTATATGTCAATTACATACTGCATGTCATACAAACACTTAATTTTACATAATATAAACTAACAATTTTTTTAATTAATAAGTGAGAAAAACGTTCCATTATAACAAGTCGAACAGAATCGAATCAATTAATGAGCTATACGGGCCAAAACCAAACCGAACCGAATCAAGTTGGGTTCAGAAAAATTAAACCAACCTAACTCGAAATGTTAATCCAACCCAACCCAATCGGTATAATTCGGGTTGGGTCGGTCTAGTTTGTTGGATTCGGTAGGTTGAATATACACACCTAGCTACACCTAGAGCAAGACAGTCAGAGTCTCCCACGTGGCCAACACCAAAGCGGCACGTGGACCAGAACAAAATACGTTCAGGTAATGAAAGATTGAGGGACACCTCAGATCCTAACGACCAATAAAAAATACACATGAAGCTGACGTGGCAGATTTCATGGATTTGAAAAACCTCTGCCAAATGAAAAACACAGAAAACCGTTACAATTTCCCTCCACACATTTTCCCATTGCCTTATCTTTCTTTCCCTCCAAATCGAGCCACAGTTTTCCAACACTCATCAAATTCCTGTTTGTTTTCTCTTCTTCTTCTTCTTCTTCTTCTTCTTCTTCTTCTTCTCCCTTTGGCCATGGCGACCAAATTGACGTTGTCGTTAGCGTCCTTGAGTTCGCTTACTGTTCCGATTCAGAATCAGAAACCGGCAGCTTCTCTGTTTTCGTCTTCTGCAAGGTCCCAATTGATTAGGGTTTCTAGCCGGCGGGTGCTTCTTCGACGGCGGGTGCGTCTTCCACCTCCCCGGGCAACTACTGATCAACCAGGTTAGGGTTTTCCCTTCGTGTTACCACGAGTAGTGCTAAGCTTAGTGCGATTTGTTGACTGTGAAGGTTGCAGGGAGTGGGACAGAGCTAGTAAGATTAGTGTGTTGTTCGATATATCTTTTGAAGTTCTTGTGGTTACAAATTAGATGTTTCACTTAAAAAACAATTTAAACGACATTAAATTCACCCAAAAATAATAGAGTTACTAGGTTTTAATGTATATATTGACAAAAATGTAAAGGTCTCAATTTAATGGAATTGTTGATGGAAATATCGATATGATGTTGATATCAATGGATGGTTCTAGAAAGAATCATAAATATTTAAGTTAGAAAATAAGCATTTCACCCTTTTAAATAAGTTAAAAGTTATTTGAGTTAATATTAATGTTCACATTAGTGATATTTTGCTGCTATTTTTTTATATAGAGAACTTTACTTGTAATAAAATGGAAATGTTGATGCCTTCCGTTTGTCGATATGAAACTCATGGACATGAAAATCTTGATGAAAATGTCAACCGATGAAAACTTAATACCATCGAAAGATTTTGAATGCTCTAAAACCACTTTGGCTAATAGTTAAAAAGAAGTCCAACAAACTTAGAAATATTTTTTGATACAGTTTTTCTTCCTGTATCTCCTTAAGTAAAAATTATCTTGTAGTTTTCAGAACCAATCAGATAGTTAGCATACGAGGTTTAAACATTAATTTGCCTGCTGAGCCTAATGAAATTAATCCTATGAACTAGTTATTTGCCTGATGCCTGATTCTGTAAGTTTTATGAAAAGTTTGGTATTGCAAATAGAACATAATA